TTAATATTCTTTGCAAAGATCATTATTCAAATGTATCAATTCTCCTTTGGCCTTTCTTATTCATTCTCCAGCTTTCATATGCACATGAGGTGATTGAAAATACCACAGTTTGTTTGGGTCAGGTTCACCTTAATCTTCCAAGTGACATCTTTGCTCTTAGATACTTTTGTAACAGATTTGTACAATCTGTTGAGGTCTTTTGTAACAGATTTGCTCAATGCACTACATAATTCAATTTTTCAATTGCCACTTAATGAGCGTTGATTGTGGATCCAAGTAAAATTAAATCCTTGACAAGTTCAATCTTTTCTCTATTTATCATGAGGTTGGTTATTGGTCCAGTTTTGAGGATTCATGTTTATCTTGAGGTATAATATATACTGATGGTCGTAGTCTTTGATCTTCATCAGTAAGTGCTTCAAATCTTCTTTGATTTCAGTAAGTAAGTTTCTGTTATCTCCAGTTGTGATGCTGCATTCTTCTGCTTATAGTCTAATTTCTTGGATTATTGGCTGAAACCACAGATTGAGTAAATATGGCTAAATTTGCATATGTATAAAATCCTGACACACACCTTTCCTGATTTTAAATTATAAGTATCCCCTTGTTCTGTCTTAGTGATTGCTTCTTAAACTATGTACAGTTTGCTAATGAGTATAGGTAAGTGTCCTGGAATTCCCAGTCTTTACTATGTCACTTATTATTTGTTATGATCCATACTGGGAAAATCCTTTGCATAGTCAATAAAACATCTTTCTGATATTCTGTGCTTTCAGCCAAGATCCAGCTGGTAATGGCAATGATATCCCTCTTTCCATACCTTCTGAATCTGGTTTGAATTTCCAGTAGTCCCCTCTCTAAGAATCACTGCAATCATTTTTTAAATTATTTCAGCAAAATTTTATTTGCATGTGGAATTAATGATATTGTTTGTTTTTTTTCATTCTTTTGCATTTCCTTTCTTTACAATGTATGGATCTCTTCCAGTGGCTTGGCCAAGTACCTCACTACCAAATTTCTTGGCATAAATGAGTAAGCACTTCTAGTGTTGCATCTGTTTATTGAAATTTCTCTATTAGTATTCTGTCAATTCCTGAAGCCTTGTTTTTTGTTAATACCTCCAGTGCAGTTTGGACTTCTTCCTTCAACACAGTCGGTTCTTGTTCATATACTACCTCTTGAAATGCTGGAACATTGAACAATTCTTTTTGGTAGAGTGACTGTATTTCTTCCAGCTTCTTTTAATGCTTCTTGTATTGTACAGCATTTTGTCCATAGAATCCTACAATATTGCAAGTCAAGGCTTCTATTTTTTCTTCAGTTCTTTCTGCTTGAGAAATGCTAAGCATGTTCTTCCCTTTTGTTTTTCTAACTCCAGTTCTTTGCACATTTCATTATAATACTTTACTTTGTCTTCT